TATTGAAAAACAGTGCATTGAGGTCCACTGTGAAACATTTGAAAGATAGAGTGCAACACTTCATTACACTAAGCCTCTTGACTTTCAACATAACCTAGGTTATGCTGAAAGTCTAGAGGAATCAGGTATTTAATCTTTGTTTATACTTTTAGACCTCCTCTAGCACAAAGGGTATCCGCTACCATAAGCAAACCTCTGATTACAGTACTTGCGAGGCTTTTGAAGGTGATGAACAGTCAAATTCTGCACAAATTTAGGGCTTTGAGAAACCATCTCTGGTGGATGCTGGACTATTAATTTACAACCTTCCACTGCTGACCATTTGCTTCTGCCTCCTCATGATAGAATAATTTGGTTCGTGCCCACATCTCCCTGATGGGAGTGTCATCTTAGCTGACACTGATAATAAAAGCGGTCTTGCATGAAGATGCAGGTCTGTGAGTGGGAGCTGCTGATTCATTCACATTCCTGTCTACCAGCACACTTACAGGAACAGTAGCCTTCAGTAAGCAAACAACTGAGAAGGTATTTCCTTTAACAGCTTCTGCTGTTTGCGCAGAGAATATGAATATAAGTATCTATACCCTCCACTGACTCACACCTGTGACCATGTTCAAGCTTATGCCCACCTCCATTCCCTTCCCTTGTGTCAGGAGCTCATTGCTTCCATTGGTTCTGAAGTTCCTTGTAATTATATAAATAAGCAACAAATACTAGAGAGTCTTAGATCAGGTCAGGCTTTTTTGCATGTAGGCTTTTGCTACCACATGGCTCCTTTTCTAGGGAAGAGGGACATCCTAATGCCTGAGACCGGACTGTTACAGGTACCTGCTGAGGTCTGTACCCAACTTCCACCAGGACCCTGCAGAACCTGTGGGTTTCTCTCTCCTTGGGGGGTTTCTCAAGACTTTAACTTTAGTAGAGAGGTTTTTGTCGTATTCCAAAGGTGAGTTTTATGCTATCAGTCATTGGAAGTGTCTCACCTAAGCTACTATTTTGGATCTGTATATTAATTGCAAAGGGATATGCAACTTCACAAGCCAGTTCTCTATGTCATAAGAGTAATAGAAGACAACAGACAAATTTCCATGCAGGATTAATTGAGAGGGTTCTCATGATGTATAAAATCATAAACTAAAGCTTCTGTAACCCAATCAGTATAAAATAAACCTTATTTTCCTGTAATTCTTCTGTCATGACTGAGCCCACCATAGAGAAACCATGTCGAAACCTCTATGTACCTTCTTTCCTGATGATTTTCTACCAAGATCCTCATTAACTCAATTGTCCATAAAGCTACCCATAAGAAAAATTGTCTTGAAATAGACAACAGATGCACTTAAGAGTTACATCTTGTGATGAATGGACACAAAATCCCAGCTTCATTTACAGCCAGCCCACACAGTCACATTTTTTATTGCTCACACATAATGATCAAAAATCATTTGAGAACAAAAAAAAATAAACTCCAGTCAAAATTTTAACACAATCTTGTAAAATAAAATAAATAAAATAAAATACAAATTTGAAATTATTTACAGTGTTTGAAGCACCTGAGAGAAGCACCCTAGCCCAACCCTAACTACTTGCTAATCTCTATCCTTATGATGCTCTGAGTAAGATCTCTGGTATTTTTTTTCCATTCTTTATTCCCCTCCCCTATACCTGCCCTGAATGTGACATGTTATCTTCAACAATCTAATCTTTCTGTTTGCAATAATTTTAACTAGAACTGGTCTATTCTTCACCAATGAAATTTAGCTTCCATTTTATTCCTAATTTTGTGTACAAACTGCATGATAGCCCTCAGACTCAAGTAATATTATTTCTGTTCTGTCTGTTTAAATGTGCTCATTTTTATAGCAGGTAATTTCTGGCAAGTTGCCTTTAAATATTTGTAATTGTTCTATGAATCCTTATGTTGAGGAATACATTCAGTGCAGGTAGCTTGGTGTGCAGCTGCAATGGGAGCTGCAGGTTGATCTCTAGGTGGCAACAGTCCCAGGTAAAGAGCCGTGCACTGACGACCCTTTGCATAAAAAAGGGCACAGGGACCTGTGGTCCAGACAGATGACTGGACACTGAGAGACATGGTAGGAGCCGAGAACTCAGGAGAGAGTTTTGCATGCTTGGGCTGCGAAGGTATAAGAGCTCAGGTGTTCCTTTTTTGGGGACTCTCCTCGGAGGCACCAACTCTGGCTGTTTCTGTGTCTAGTGTGGATGAGTAAATGGCTTCAAGGAATGAGATATCTGAGACTCTGCTATTGGAAACCTGGTGTCAAACCAGTCAGGAAACCCGGTCTGACTGTGTGTGAGTGCGTGAAGTGAGTCAAGGAGGGCCCCCATTGGGTCACTGAGCTCCTGTGAAGGGGTTTCAGTTCCAGCAATTAAAGTCTCTGGTAGTGGAAGTGTGACTACCAGAAAGTCTCATGAATGGTCAGACAGGGAAGTTTCCTTAAAAGCTGTGTCCTTTGTATGGTGATCCTTCCTTTTCTCAAAATGGTACTTCCCGTACCTACCTGAGCTTTGAAACTCATGTTACCTGCATTTCACTTGTCACAGTGTTTGCAAGTAAACAAATGTAGGACTCATCTACACAGATAGGTACGACAGTTACATGTCCATTCTGCTTGAACTCCAATCTGGCTGAATACCATGAAGTTCAAACTGTTTTGTCCTGCTAAGATTAAAATGTTCACTGCATCTTAGACTCTGGTAACAGAGTGAAGATGCAATTATCTGGAGGCATTCATCTGATCACATTATTCGCATGGCCAAAATCAGAACTGAACTGTAATTTATGCAGAAGGTATATGGTATGGTATATGGTATGTGGTATACGGTATATGCAGAATACTTCTCAAGATTTATAGAAATTCTTTTTCTGGTCCTCTGACTCATTTTACCAGTGCTGAAGTCATCTGAAGAGAAATCTTCCTCTGTGAGGAAATTCAAGGCTTGTGAGGCTTTAACTGAGCACTCTGCTAATCTAATTGCAGTGTTTAATTTTCTTGCAGAGGTAACATACAACCAATGCAATTGATTCCCAGCCAGATGACAGAAAAGAAAATTTTAGGCACTTTTTCTCCATCTTGCAAGCAACTATAGTCAAAGACTGATAAGTATTTCTTAATACTTTTTTGTCAGAGAAACTGGCAAAATTTCTTCAACAGCACTGTTGAATTCCTATAATGTTAAAAATTATATCTATGTTTAAAAATAATGCACTATCATAGAGACTTTCCCTTCCTTTTTTTTCTTCTCTTTTTCCAGTTTAGTATTTCTTGCAACTTCTGTACCTTGACGTTAAAATTTGCTGAGTCCAGTTGAGACAAATGTGACCAGATGTCACATTTTGATAGTAATTATAAGAGACTTAGGTATTTTAGCTTCTGTCTTTTCTAGAGATAACATTGCACAAGAGAGATTCTTAAGTTAACAAAGCAAAAGAGGCCTTGTTCAGTTTCACTGGTTAAAAGCAACACTTTAAACATCACACGAAAATGAAGAAGCAATGGTGCTGATCATGAAGCACTGAGGTAAAACTCTGTGCTGCTCTCTAAGAGGCCAGCTATACACTGCACTAGCACATTTACTAAAACATCTTGGCAGAAGGTTCCCATGCAACATATTATGTTAGATTAATTTAAAGGTAGAAAAGGCATGGATAACTGTTGCAAGATCTGCATACAACAATGTAATAATAGACACAGAATTCCAGAGAACAGTAAGAGAAAAATGGTCAGATGATAAAGCATTTATCTGCAGTGGCTGCTTACTTAATTAGCAATAACCCTAATCTAATAAAATCAACATACTATGAATCATCTTGCCCAAGTTCATTCACCAGTGGTGTCAATTATTCAATAAGTGGACATTTGTGTATTTTTTTCCCTAGCTTTTAACATTGTTTCCTTTTGGGTTTTTTTCTTTTTTTTTTTTTTCTAAATTTTGGACTGGGCAATCACACTTAGGACGACAGGCTCTCAGTCAAATCCTTGTCTCATGCAGATTGGAATACAAGATCTTCTTGGTTCCCAGTCAATTGTATTGTTTTCATCAAATAAAAAACATCAGTGGAAAAAGTTAACCACTACATAAAAACCAAATAACTTGAAGCACTTTAACAATTGTGTATTAGTGCTGGCATGCTTCAAAAATAACTGCTGAACATTGCTAAGAGGACTGAAAGACTATATAATTATTTATGACAGGCTTTCATCATTTTTTTCTTCTCCTAAATGGGTGGTGTTAGTTGAAGGCCAAAGGAATATTGTGGAAATGAAAGAAGGAAAGCAGTGTTTTTTATAAGGCAATTGCCCTCCATCTTCATTCACACAGGAACAACTAAACTAAGCATCTCCTAGGAGGACCAGTGTTCAAAGGTGTTTGAATTTTTGATTCCATAATATGAAATCCATGGCTTTAAATAGAAAGAATGAAGAACCATGAATAGAAATGAATAGTAAACCATTTATTCCCATATCAGGAATATGTTCAAGTTGAGAAACGGTTTTCCATTCCATATTGGGATAAAACTGAGCCCTTTCAGACCTTTCTACTTTTTCAGGAAAAAAAAAAGGAGCAAGTGAAAGCTTTGCTTCCTCCCCTAATACTGCTGCTCACTTTCATGTCCTCTGAAAGAGCCAAGCAAATAGGGTGCCAGCATCCAAGGAAATGAAACTGTATCTGAAGTCCAGCTCTGCTAGTCTGATGCATCAGACTACTGTTCTCAGTACTTGACAAGCCTGTCACGCATTGCAAGAGCGTCCAAGAGTAATTCTGAGGTCAGATGCAATTAATTCTTCATACTTAAAATAGCCCACCCTAGAGCTCAGATGCATTTCCAGCCATCACTTTTCTGATGCTGACGTATTCCCACTAAATCTCTCAGTTAGAACACATTGACTCAGCTTCTGGACTCGCCCCCAGCCCTCTGCCGCAGGGTTAAGCAGAGCTTGTTGTTTGTTTGAGCACTCACTGCCACTAGCAGGACCCCAATTCACTCCCAACACACACACAACTCACAAATGAAAACTGGGGAGTAAAACATGGAGAAAAGGGAGGCATATAGATCCCACAGAAAGGTATTATACCTCTGTTGTAGGATTTCTTCCAGACAACTCAAAGACGGCCAGCTTCTGAAGTATGCCTAGGAAATATGTTCTTACAACAGCATCACTACTAGCCCACATCCTGGGGTATTAACTCAGTAGTGTTTATTTGGCTTTTTTGTCTCTAAATATCAGCACTACTTTTTGCTTGCATGCTACTATCCTTGTTTAATTTCACTGGACTATGTGCATGTGTAAAATTCAGCACTCACACAAGTATTTGCAACACTCTGGCCATTATTCGTCATGTCTTATTCACATTGGAATACCAGCAAATATGTAGAAATTAGAGTTTGTAATATTATGTTATTCCTTGTATTCCATGGCTGAAATAAAATATTTCCATGTCTAACATAAATAACGGAATTAATTCTTTTCCCTCAGTGAGGAATTTGCTGCTCCACCTAGAGGAAACAGTCTGATTTCTTCTGAGAAGAGGCCTGTTTGTGAGTGATGGGGTTGAAATCTGGTCACTGACAATGAATGATACCAATAATAATAAAAAGATACTTTAGAAGCATTTGAAAGATGATTACCCTACATAATCATTAACAATCTGTCACTTGCTGGGTCGTTTTGGGTACAAAGTCATTAAGACCATCACTAACAGCTGCTACCACCCTGAATGTCAGGGAAGTAAAATGTTGCAATAAAATCACATTCCAATTTTTTGGTTTCTCAGACTCAACCTAGGGATGTAAACACTTCTGGCCTCAGTATGGTTTTCCTGGATCTTCACTTTACAGCTGGAGCCCCCCATAAGAATTTAAACACAATAACAAAAGTTCTCTGCGGCACAGTATCAGCTGCACTTGAACATATCTGAGTATTGCTGGGAGAAATTAAGGCACTGCAAGGCTCAGTAAAATAAGCTATGAACATAAGTAGGTGAATCATCACTTTATTCCTGTTGCTTTTCAGATCAACTTTCTGAAACATTTTAACCCAGGCAGTAGAGACAACTGCATGAATCTGAATTCATAAACCATTTTGTTCTGATGGGAAAAATGTGTACGTAACTGCAGTAAACTAGAACATTTAGAATGTCTGCAAAATGGCTGAACGGCCAGGCCCCAGAGAGTGGTGGTGAATGGTGCTATATTCACTTGGTGATCAGCCACAAGTGGGTTTCCAGGGCTCAGTATTGGGGTCAGCTTTATATGTTTATCAATGATCTGCATGCTCAGGAAGTTCACAGATGACACCAGCTTGGGTGGGAGTGTTGATTTCCTGGAGAGTAGGAAGACTCTGCAGGGGGATCTGGACAGGCTGGATCAATGGACGAAAGCCAATTTTAAGAGATTTAACAAGGCCAAGTTCAAGGTCCTGCACTTGGGTCTTAACAACTCCATGCGGAGCTACAGGCTGGGGGAAGAGTGGCTGGAAAGCTGCTCAGTAGAAAAGGACTTGGGGATGCTGGTCGACAACAGCTGAACATGAGCCAGCAGTGTGCCCAGGTGGACAAGAAGGCCAATGGCAACTTGATCTTAAGGATCTTTTCCAACATAAATGATTGTATAACTCTATGAAATGTTGAGTGGCCGTTTTCTATTTAGTGCAATTAGTGGTTTATACCTCATTCAACAGTTGCCAGGGTACCAGGAAAGAGTCCTGAGTACGAATATGCAGTTCTTGATGATCTCTGATATATGGATGGTAGGACCTGGCTATTTTTGACTGATGAATCCTTGTGTGGCTGCAATGACCATGTAAGGCAAGGTGACCAAGGCTAGATCTTCCACTAAGAAAAACTGCTTAAAACGCTTCCTCCTCATATAAATTAAAATGCAAATATGTGTAGTCATAACAACAATCTGGAATGGAGGCACTGCCAAAAGCCTTGGAAGTCCCTTGAGACTTGCAGCAGATGTCCACAGTGAACAAGAACAGTTGTTATTGAGGTTATCAGCTTTTCTGGCCATTGCTGTATCTGGTCAACCAGAAGGTGAAGTGCAATTACAAAAACGAATATTATTGTACTAGGCCTTCCAAGAGATATGAACCATACAGGACTGTGCCCAGCAAAGACATCAGTGGTAATAGTTTCTAGTAATGGAGACCTTCCAACCTTATTCCTGGGGTTTCTCACACTGGTACAATAAGAAGAGATATTAGAGCACATGACCGTTCAAATAGTCTCCTGAGTCACATAATCCCAAGGTTCCTCAGGTTTTATATCAAATTCTGAAATTCGTGTTTTTATGCTCTTAGCACAATGACACTTGTATGGTAGTAAATATAGGCCAAAAAATGAACACATTTATGTTGAGGATATCTGTGTTAAATCCTCAGCTAGTTTCTGTTTCAGAAAAGAGGAACAGACACTACTCTACGCTGTCCCTGAGTTTGCTGGCCCATTTCCATATTGTCCTTTACTTCCCAGAGTAGGGACCAAGAGTGATAATCCAACTCAGATCAAATTAGATTCACACTAACTTATTTAGGTGACTCTTTGTGGTGACTCTGTGTGCAACATTTCTTCTGTCCCTGCACACTGGATGAGCAAGACAAGTCATGGTGACTGTTGACAGTCATTCTGTCCAGCAGTGGATAGAAAGGCAGTGAGGGCTGTGCTTGCTTCTCTCTGACCTTAGCTGACCAGCTGGCTATGCAGATAATACTCTGAATTTCCTAAAAAGGCATCTCAACCAGCATTGTTTGCATGTGGGGGCACTTATGGAAGAACCCCTCCCAGATTCTTCTCTGGGACAATAGGTCTCTGCACTATTCCCCCTCTGTGCCCTTGTCTAACTTCCATAATAGTCTAATGTGATTAGTAAGTATTGCTTTTGCAGCCAAATAGAAAGGGAGGGAGCATTATACAAAGTTTCCAAACAATACCAAATATTACATTGAGACTGCAGAGCAGTATTTTTGTTGTAAGAACAACAGCTTTTTTTTTTAATGAAATTGATTTAAGTAGAATCTGGAGTTTATTTGTTTTTTGGGTTGTTTTTTTTTCTACAAGGTACAGCAGCTGCTTAAAAGAACATTTCACCATAAGGAACAGGCTGATTCACTGCCTTTCTCCTGGGTACAGATTGTTGTCTTCTCCCACACAGTCTTCATAAATTAGGAAGAAAATTTGAAAGCATTACAATATATGTTTTTGATTGTTCCTGGCTTATGTAGTGGGATTAGACCTCAAATATCCAGTCTTTTTATAAGAAAATAATGGTCAATAAAATATAAAAGAAGAATAAAAAGCTACATTCTAAAATGCCTCAAGGTAACTGTGGAGACGTGGCATGATTTATACAGGAGGTGCAGTGAGTTCAATATCAGAGAATCACCTTCCATTTGTAAAGCCTGAAGACATTGAGTATCTCCAGGTCTTGAGTATCTCCAGGTCTTGGGACATTTTCCTCAGCTCTTCCATAAGGGCACAGGAAGGTGGGACTCTGTTACACCACTGTGTTCAAATGGACTAAGCTCTGACCTGCTTTAAGTCACTACACCAAACTTCATTCACACAAGAATTTAAATGTCTGAAACTGAAAGTGAAGTCACCCACAAACCTATCCAGATTCCTGTGTACAATTACCAATCTATAAGAACAAGAAAGACTAGCAGAAGGCTAAGCATCCGTGTCAATAGAAGGTCCTGGTTTTCCCTCCTCAACCTTTGTTTTTTTTCTATACAATGTATACTTAGTGCAGGAAACCAGTTAGTAAAACTTGCCTGAAACAAGATTTGGTTCCATGTTTCAGATTACAACTGAGATGTCAGAAGTAATTCACTCAGGAGGTGGCAGGATCCCTCCAGGATGGTTCAGCCCTCTGTTAGAATAATAAGTAAATAATCCCAGAAGCTTTTTGTTATTTTGTTTGGTTTTTTTTAACTACAGGCAACATGAGAAGGTTACTAGAAAGTTGCCACCATAGACACCGAAAGCATCCTTTCCTGATTTCTGGAAATTGCAATATATCACACTGTGATTCTATCAACAATCATTTTGAATCATTTGTTGAGATTCTCAGACAATGAAGACTATCTTTCTCCTAGAGAAATATAAAGATAGCTGAAGAAAATCATAAGTTCACAGCAAAATGCAACTCTATTAGTCTCATATGGGAAGGTGGTCTGCACTTAAGTGATATATAGCATTCAATTCCAGTGAGCTTTTCTTGCTAGGGAACAGTTGAAATGTCATTAACTTTTCCAATTGCAACAGCACACGTCAGAACAAGGACTGGAATACTATAGACCTTCAAACGTTTTTAATAGTATGGCATCATGAGTTAAGGGTGGAACTAACAGTAAAGAAAAATTATCTCCTGTTCAGCTCTGCTTCTGCCATAGCTGGGAGCATATGGGCAGTACAGTTTCTGGACTGTAAAAGAAAGAGAGATTTGAGATTACTGTGTTCAGTCCCAACAGACAGAGAGGAATATGGACCAGTATTTACTAACTTTCCTCTCCTTTCCTTCCAAATTATCAATTCTTCTAGCCCAGCTCCACGCTCTTTTCTTTAATTTCCTCCTCTTCAAACTTGACCCAGGGAAACTTTCCTCCCATAACCTATTTAGGAGGATTAACAGCAAGAGGAGTGTTGATGGTCTTTTGTTTGCAGTTTTAGTGCCAGGGAAGCAACTGAAAGGAAAATTGATCAAGGAAGAGTTTGTGCTTGTTGCTGTGTGTGCTAGTTGTGTGAGAGCTGTTCAGTGAGTTCGGGAGCTCATTGAGTATAGTCAAGATAGGCAATAAGCAGGGGTCACAAATACCAGATCCTTATAAGTCTTTGCTGAAATCAACTTTTAACCACATGCTCCCTGATGAGGTAATACCTTAACACAGAAGTGCATTCCAAGTGATGTTAAATATGCTTTATCTCTTCCTCTTTCATAAAGTCACAGAATTAGGTTGGATGGGACCTTGAAAGGTCATGTGGTCCAATCTTTCATGGAAAAGAGAGCCTAGATGAGGTTATGTAGCACCTTGTCCAACTGTTTGTTGGAAAACCTCCAACAATGATCTCTACCACATCCCTGGGGAGGTTGTTCCAGTGATAAATTGCTCTCCCAGGAAAAAAAATACTTTCTTATGTGGACAGGAAACTTGTCCCTGCGCAACTTGTAGCAGCTGCTCCTGGTGAAGAAAGAGACTCCATTCTCTTTACAGTTACCCTTTAACTACTGGAGTACTGTGACGTAGTCTCCTCTGAGCCTTTTCTTGCTGGCAGAAAAGACCTTGTTCCTTCAGTCTTTCCTCATAGGGCAGGTTCTCCAGCCCTCTTACCAACTTTGTGGCCCTCCTTTGGGCCCTATCCAGTCTGTCCATGTCTTTTTCAAATTGTAGGGACCAGAGTTGCACATTGCATTCTGAGTGTGGCCTGAGAAGTTCTGAGCAGAGTGGGATCCCATCTCTGTTCCTGCTAACAATGTCCCTGTGGATGCAGCCCAGGATCTGATTTGCCTTCATTGTGGCAGCAGTGTACTGCTGACTCCTGTCCAACCTGACCCAGGTCCCTTTCAGCAAGGCTGATCTCCCACCATACAGATCCTGGCCTGTGCTGGGCTCTTTCAGTTTTGAATTCCACCTTCAGGACATCACACTTGTCTTTGTTAAAATTCACACAGTGCTTGCTAATCCGCGCTTTCAGCCTGTCCACGTCACTCTGTAAGATGGCTTTCCCTTCTGACGTGTCCACCTTACCATGCAGTTTAGTGTCATCATCAAACTTGATAAGGGTTCTTTCAGTCTCATTATCCAAACCATTTAGGAAGATGTTGAACAGTATGGGGTCCAGTATTGATCCCTGGGGGATCCCACTTGTGACAGGCTGGTAGAAGCCATTGATCACCACCTTATAAATGCAGCCTGTGAGCAAATTTCCTACCCATCTCACAGACTACCCACCAAATTTGTGCCTTGCCAGTTTGTCCAGGAGAAGGCATCAGAAAAGCGTCAAACGCTTTGCTGAAGTCCAGTCTTTATTGCACCTCTGCCTTAGTCAGCATTCAAACCTCAAAGTATCCCAGAAACAATGCACGTCTTCAACATTTTTCATTTTCATCTTTCTGTTCTGCACAAAAAAACCCCTGCAACTGTAAAGACTCGTGCTTTCTCCTCTACCTTTAGCTTAAAGATAAGGCATAGAGTCTACTTAGGCATCTTTTATTTAATTATCAGTATAATTTTAACTTTGTATGTATGGCCAGTCTTCGCGAGCGAAGATTTGGGAAAGGTCATTAACCCTTCGAGCCTGCGCAGTGGATTTTTTAGGTGAGACACAGCGTGCGCTGAACTGAGCCCACCCTTTAATCCTAAGGTTCATCTGCCGGGGCCGAGCAAGCTTGGACAGTGGCAGTGAGGTCCTCAGAACGTAGGTTTGTTTAGAGTGACCTTCTCTTAGATGGATTGCCTTACAGGGCTGACGAGCTCCATCTGCCCGGGGGACTTTTACCCTGACCGGGAATCGAACCTGGGCCGCAACGATGAGAGTGCTGCATCCTAACCACTAGACCACCAGGGGTCCCAATTTTAACTTTAAGTGAATAGTAAATACATCTGAAACTTAAAGTAGAAAAATGAACTTTTATGTGAAGGCAGATATTTTTAACTCTATTTTTCACAGCTATTTGGAAAAATCTTCTAGAAAATTGGCTTTCCTATTTGTTCTGTGATATATATGCAGAAATCTGTCTTGCTCTTCAATCTGATTTTCATCACGAAGTTGATGTTTTTTGCCTTAGGTGTACAATCAATTCCCAACTTTCTAATCATAGAATAAATGAGGTTGGAAGGAATATCTGGTGGGCATCTAGTCCAACCCCTGCTTGAAGCTGTCTAGGTAAACCAGGCTGGTCAAAGATTTACTAAGTTTTTAATATTCCCATTGATGGAGATTCTGTGCATGACTTCAAATATTTTACCATGCTTGCAGTTAAAATATTTTTCCTTGCATGTAATTCATGGTCAAATATAAATATACCACTACACAGTTTTCCGGGAAAAAAAGGTAAAGGAAAAGATCTTACAGCTCACTAACATCTCCTCTACTGAAGCAGCCATTTTACTACGTGTCTGCTTTTTCAGGTCCAATATAATGAGATGTTGCAACTGCCTTCAGCAGTATTTCTGTCTTCTGAAATAGCCAGTAGCTACTTTTTGTTATGATGGAAAAAGCTGACTTTCAATATTCACAAATCCACGCATTCACACAGATACTACTAGCATCACTATGTAGTCTGTTGGAATTAGTCCAGGATAACCTCTTCAGGTCATACATCTGTAGCACCAACAGAGTAAACTGAATACATACATAGCTTTGCAGAGGAAAAATAACAAGTTTTCACTTCCAATTTTCATGGTTTATTCTAAAGCACAGTATCATGCAGTCAGTCCACACAGAGCTGAGGTATTTACATTTCTAACTCTCTAGGCATTTTAGTACCTCAGACCTCAAGCTATATTCCAATCTCCTCAGTATGTTTTGTTTTCCATTGGAGTTGGAATTAACCACAGATCACCATTGTAAACCATCCTTCAAAAGGACAGTGAGGTCTCATCTGTTTTCTTCTGATATCGGGAAGCCCTTGTTACACTCAAACATAATCTCATCAGCCAGAGGTTCGAGAGATGGTTTTCCTTTGCTTCAATCTGTGCCATGCTCCACCACATCATGTCACAGCTGAGGTATTGCCTTGACTCCACTTCTTCCTTATCTCCTTCCTTCAAGTCAGCTTATGATCTCTTTTAACTGTTTCTTAAGCCTCTCATAAAACCTTTATCAAAAATGTTTCCATGCCTTTTTTCTATCTTGTATGCACTTGTAGAGTACTTTCTACCACATATAGACTTGACATCTACTGCTTTGACAAAAGGAAACATAAATTTCACTTTTGAAAAGACTATGTTTACTACATAATTTTATGTCTTAACATTTGTAGACTCTTCTGTGCATCACATCACCGTATGGACTCTGACCACCTCTCAGAAGTCATAAATACAGTTGAAGTGATGAGATGATTACAGTTTATCAACTATTAAAACTGTTTTGTAGCTGAGTTAAGATCTAAAGCTGCATTTTTATCACTTCCTTCTGTAACATATTTATGATAACAGATGAGAGTGCTTTTCACAGCATGACCACAGAAAAATCATTGCAAATTACATGTCAGAAATGGACTCTGGTTTTCAGTAGTGCTAAATGTGTGCAACTTCCATCAGCTTCAGCTGATGGTGAGGATGACATCTGCCTGAACATTGAGTTTTAAGACTAGAATTCCTTTGAACCCATGTGGGTAACTGTAAGTTGGATAATCAGTGAACAATCATCTCATACAAAGCATGTGAGTGTCACCCTACTGTATCTCTGTCTACATGACTACAAAGGGGGTCTGGGGTGACCAGCTCATTTGCTGGCATCTCCACTGGAGTAGTCTAAAGTTAGATGAGAATTATTTCATTTTCTGTCCCAATTTATCACCAAAAAATGAAAATCTATAGCCCATTTCCAGAGCTGCAGACTACAGGAAGATGGTGGAAGAGGTAGGATATGACTGTCCTGATTTTTTGTCCAATCACAGGTAACATATTGTCCACTCCTCCGCCTCATTTATAATACAAAATCTTCAGTTTGAACTCATCTTTGTCCATGACTGCTGACTTCTGTTACCCTTTCATAAGCATATCATATCTATATTGTCCTATGTGGCAAATAAAAGGTCTTTTCAGGGTCAAACTGATGAGACCCACAGCCATTAGTTATAAGAGACCAAAAATAAAGATGAGCTGAATATAGCAAATAGGAATTATTTGGGTATCACCTATCACCTCAAAATAGCAGAAGGCATGGTTGCTGAGAGAAAGAGATACAAATATAGTTTAGAAACCTTATATAGTTTTATAAATAACTAGATAAGTTTATATATAGATAGCTATTAAATACATTTGACACTATAAGGAGCTCTCTCTGCTTCGCTCCATAGAGAGAGGAACATTTGTGAGACAGTACACTAATATGGGGTAGTCATAAAATTTTAATGTCTTATATCTGAAGCATTTTTATTACTCATTAGAGTTCTGAGTATTAGTGATTTCAGTGGCCTTCCCAAATGGAGCACACTGGCTCTCCAAATTTCCACTGTCACAATGTGGTTAAGGAGCACTTCCTTTATAGCACTTGTAGTCTGTGAGTGCATTTTCTCTATTTAGCAGGGCTGCACAATCTGATAGGTATCCTGAATTTGTAAAAACACATGAAATTTTGTGATTTCTAAAAAGAAAATTTATTTTGTCTTTCTAGGTCAATGTTTTAAATGCAGATTTCAGCTACAGAAGCTACACCAGTGACAACTATGAATATGGATATGACAACAAGCTTGGAATTACAAGGTTGACATCAATGGCTGTATTAATATGAGTGAGTAGGGTACACAAAAAGAACCAAATGGGTGAAAAAAATAAAAATATTATTTAGGAAAATGTTTAAGCAAAATATCTTCATGTGTATTATGTGGCGTCCTACTTTTTTTAATTTTAATAAATCTTACATCGGTTTATTCAGTGTTACAATATAATATGATAATCTTCAAAGTTAGGCCTCAGAGAAGCTTACCTTAAAATAAAATTTAAAAAAATTCCAATACTTGAAGCATATTCTATTTTGCTAGAAATGTATTCAAACTACCTAATGATATTGTTATTGCTTTGGGGCTTTTTTAAAGGAATTATAGAATTCCTTTGTGGTAACTATAGCTACTGTAGTTGAATCTTTCCAACCATATTTGCAAACATAGACACCAATCATTCAATTTCATTTTTTTCATGTTCTGTGTATCATTTGAGAAAGATTTTGTGGGTTTTGTTTACTCATTATGCTTGAGTAATGGTTGCTATTTGCTTTAAATTAAGTATACACACATACCACCATATTTTTAAGTGAATAAAAATATTTTGGTCATCTAAGATAAACTCATAAAAGTGAGCAAAAATTATAACTCTAAAAATACAATATTTGGGACCTTTTAGAAAGCAACAGAAACAATAGACTGTGACATAGAAGACTAACAAAACAATGTAAATACAGACTCTGCTATGTGAAATTTTTTTTATTTCAGGCAAAAAAAACACAACAAGGAGGCCAGATAATATATTTGTTGAAAAGCAAAGAATAAAGAAAATTATAATAATAATAAAAAGAACATCTCAGAAGTAAAGACTGCTAAATAATCAGATAATCAAATGTGAACTTAAACACCTTTTTTTTATTGAATGTTCCTAATGTACTTTCTATTAGGAAGAATATCACCAGACAAACACTCTTTAAGAAACTTGTACTTTGGCTGAAGGCTGAGACCAAGAATTGTAGTTCTCATAGAAATTATTAGAAACTGTTTAAAATAATAAACAAATGTGGAAAGAATGAAAGTGAATGACTGATTTTCATGTTTGTAAATGCATCTGCTTATAAGCTAAACAACAAAAATTATAGCTAACTTAAGTTGGTGAAAACTGAAGGTCTATTTTGAGGAATAAATCTTTCACCACTACTGATGTTTCTTGCAAGGGGTGTCTTCCTTTTTTGCTCTGATTCAGAGCAGATGGCACCACCTTTTGAACACACTAGTACAGCTAGTATCTTAAAGTAAGTGACACCACCACCAATCGTCAAAGGCCCTGAAAATTTTGTTAAATAGGGTTTCAAATGATCCTAGAAAACAAATTTCAGATGAAAGCAAAACACATAAATGCCATCCCTTCTGATCTGGTCCAGATGTAAGAACCATGATGAGGAGAATATATTGTCTTTTTAAATTGGTGAGGATATCACTGAGCATGCCAAGCAGACACAAGGGACTGTAACACCACTTGTAACAGATGAATTACAGTCTTTCTTCAGATGAATTTTTCCAGCTGTAAATGGAGCGAAGTGGGAGTGGAATATAAGTAGAGTATAAGTGGTTTCCCAAACCCTACAGGCAACACCAGAAGCCCTGGAGTCCTGAGTGATGCATCCATTGTAAATGCAATGCTGTTAAACTGTGATTTAAAGTCTTTTCTAGTCCCCTTAGAGAAACTGGCCAGTATCTAAAGGCTGATATTACAAATTTCATTTCCTATTCCCAGAAACTATTTAATCTTATAATACTTTCCATTAAACTTAGAAAAGGAAAAAAGGGAAAAGTCACTGTCCTGGCCCTATGACAACTGCAGCTGTGAATCTTTCCCTTTGCATTAATTTAGGAAACAGAAGAATCAGGAAGGGAATATCCTGACATTTTCAAATCTCAAAATATAATTTCATTTCAGTTCCAAAGTGATAGGAAGTATTTCCATGTGCAGTATATGCATGTTAAAAGTGAGGCCACAGTCTGAAAGTCAAAGGAATATTATTATGTGGGAAGCCTTACAGCTAATTTGTTTAGCAAATCTCTATCCAAAATGGTACTGAAGTCTCATTTTTACTTCTAGAAAAAGGACAGATTATAAATATAACACATTAGAACATGATACCATCCACAGTATATGTTAAGAGGAAGTTCAAGAGATACGTTAATTAAGTAGGTAATGATCTCTCCTAGTAACTAATATATTATTCTTTCTACAATTTACTTATATAGCACAGGATCACATTATATATTTTATAAAAAACAATACATTTTTAAAGAAGGACATAACTTCTTTCATTACACATAATTGAAAAAAATCAAAATTCTATTGTGATCAAACACTGAAAAAATTTGAGGTCATGGCTGATTTAAGAGCATTGTTTTCATTGTGATTACTTATTTTTGGGTCACCTGTTTTTCATAGACCTGGAGAAACATTCTACATCTGATGTCTGGAAAACTCTGAGTAGATTGCCTCAAAAAACTCCAAGGTCCCTAATACAGTCTAACGTTTCTTTTCCTGTGCAATGATTACTCTTTCTCTCTTTACCTCGTGAAGAGAAAACTGCAATGATTCTTCTAGGTCACTCCATGGAAGGTATGAACTCAGTTATGTAAAGTTTGCTTTTTTTCTTGTAGGACAAGATGGAAACATAGATGGCATGCATCTATGCCTGCTACTTCTTTCACATGGTAATAACAGGAATAAATGGAAATTTTGTTAAATGTTGTGATTTGTAGTAGTGTTATTTTCCATGTTTAACAGCTCTCCAGCAGGATAAGGCACAAATCTTTAGGTTTTTTCTCTCCTTTATTTTACTGATTACAATGCTGTTGCATCGCATGAAGGAGGAACTATCCTGAGATAGAATTATATCAACTGTTTTGATTCAGGTACAGGTGAAGAGGAAATGTTAGGCTCAATTAGAGATTAAAAGCTGAAAAGCAAAGTAAATAACTGAGAGATTAGTTGTACTGAGCCCCATCCCAATGATCGCAGGCTGTATAGCTTAAAATTAACTTTGCTATATTTTTAACATATACACATCACAGCATAAGACAGTATAGGTGAATGCTATTTAGAATTACATTCTGGGCCAAGGAAAATTAAATTCATTCTTTTAACACGTAATACAATATCACCATATGTTCAAAGCTCAGATAATGTAGGCCACTCCAAAGTTTTATCCCCTGTCAAGGCGAGAATGGGAAATTGTAATGGATTTTTGTTCAGATCAGAGCTGATTTTATAACCTATCCCACTAAATGGCATTACATTCACATGACCTGATTTTACATAACAGAGTTATCATAACACAACTCACTGAACACAGAACCTTCATTTTGCAGTAGCAGACAATATTTAGACCATCATTATTAACTGCTCTATGCAGATTTGTTTCCCTGTGTCAGCGAAATTAATTGTGTTCTTCTTTCCTTTTAAAACACATTAAAAGAACCTGATTGTTTATTTGTATATCTATGTTCCAAAATGACTCTTTAACTAAGATCTTACTGAAGCTGTCACCTAGGACATTGCTACAATCCTTCTATTTTCAGATGGGTTTTTTAGTAAATGAGGTCTTTGAATTCATCTGTCAGTACTATCTAATAACCATCTAATCAGGTAGCCAGTTACAACAAGATATGACAACAGTAGAGGTCTCAGAGATATCATGTTCCTGTATGTTTTGTAAAGACTGGTGGCTAGAAAGGAGGGGGGGACCCAGATCAGTGCCAATGCGGTTTAGGGATTGACTTGCCCTGCAGAAGCCCTTGTCAGCTTTCTATCACTAGGTAAGTCAGTCAGTTCATAGGTAGGTCTAAACATGCCACAACAAGTGGTGCCTAATGTGACAGGCAAAGAATGTGTCATGAAATTGTTATGGCTAGCATAGTATTTCTCAGCTAGTTTTGTTTCAAGGATTTCTTAGCCATTTCAAAAAAATACCTTCCTCTTGCGCAGGACAGTCAAAGAGTATTTTTTTACTTTTTTTTTTTTATCACTAAGCTAAAACTAGTGTCAGCTCTGAATTTTAGTTGACTGCTTCTGTTTACCCAATTTTGCGTGAACATTTGCTTGCATATTGTAGTGGGTTGACCCTGGCTGGATGCCAGGTACTTACTACAGCCAGTGTCTCACTACCCTATGCAACTGGACAGAGGAGAGAGAAAAAAACAATGAAGGATTCATGAGTTGAGATAAGAGATGGGATAGGTCACTGATCCACCATCACGGGCAAAATAGACTCAAATGGATGTTAGTTGAATTTATTACAGGGTCAGAGAAAAAGAGTGAGAAGTAAAATAATCTTAAAAACACCTTCCCCCCAGCCCTTCATCCTTCCATGTTTTCCCTCCTCCCCCTAGCGGTGCAGGGGGTTGGGGAATGGGGGTTGCGGTCAGTTGTTGGTTCTGCCGCTGCTCAGGGAGAGGAGTCCTTCCCCTGCTCCTGTGGGATCCCTCCCACTGGAGACAGTCCTTGATGGATCTCTCCAGCGTGAGTCCATCCCTCAGGTAGCCGGTATTCACAAACTGCTGTGCCGTAGGTCACTCCTCCATGGGGTGCAGTCCTTCATGAATGAGCTGTACCTATGTGGGTCCCCCATGGGGACCACAAGTCCTACCTGGGAAAAACCCGCTCCAGTATGGGCTCCTCTCTCCACAGGATACCACGGTCTCTGTCCCGTCCTTCTCCACGGTCCTATCTCCAGCAGGACCCTGCTCCGTCTTGGGCCTCCCATGGGGTCACAACCTCCTTTGGATATCCACCTGCTCCAGCATGAGTTCCTCCGTGGGCTGCAGGTGGATCTCTGCACCCCAATGGTGCTCCACGGGCTGCAGGGTCACAACTGTTCCACCATGGTCTGCACCAGGGGCTGCAGGGGCCTCAGCTCTGGTGCCTGGAGCACCTCCTGCCCCTCCTTCTGCACTGACCTTGGTGTCTATGCTGTTGTTCACATGTTCCCACTCCAATCTTCCCTGGCTGGAATTCTTTCTGCACCACAACCTTCTGTTCTTAAATATGTTATCACAGAGGTGATATCACTCCTAATTGGCTTGGCCTTGGCCAGTGACAGGAAGCCCGTCCTGGAGTTGACTGGCATTGGTTCCACAGGACAGGGGAACCCTCTAGCAGCTTCTAACATAAGCCACCCCTGTAGCCCCTCCCTGCTACCAAAACCCAGCCATAGAAACTCACTACAGGATCATATCTACAAAATAATATGCTTAACTAGAGATGTGATTCCAAGTCACGAACTTGTTTACATCTCTGTTGCTGGCTTCCCTACATTATTGTTCAGTTGAAGTTCCAGTTCCACTACACATATGTAAGAGTTTTGCGGTATTTTTTCAGGGTTTTTATTGGAAATCGTCTGGATTTCTGTGGACTACTAGTAGCTCAAGGATCACCAGTTGCAAAACACTAATTCAGGAACCCTGGGGCATGGAAGGATGGGAGGTATCAGAAAAGAGGCTTTCAGGTCTACAGAAAGACATAAGGAAACTAGTAAGCAGAATATAGAGGGAAAAATGCAATAGTGGGTTAGTAAGAGATGAAAATCAGAAAATACAGGTTCATGAGATTCATGAGAATTCTTCCATCCTGGTGTTCTAACATAATCTTTTAACATGGTTTTTAGTATTAAGGTTTGGTTTAGGGAGGAACAGATTTTACTACTTTTGTCAATGAAGTTTCTAATTTTATTTTTTTTTTAATTTCTTACTAGATTTTGAATTGGTCAGAGCTCCACAGAATCTTCTCCAAGGGATGCCAATGGTAGAATGCCTCTTGATGCTCATGGGAGCTGCATTGGACCAGCCTTGTATCCTTTCCACACACTTACTTGTTTTTCAGGTTTCCCTGGCCAAAAATGCTGCATCACTCTGCACATCTTAATTCTGTTAGTAAAAAAAGTAAATACATGTGACTATTTAAAATTAAGAATAAAATGGATTTTCCCTACCTCTTTTTTGAGGCAATGCCAAGGCTAAAATTTCATTCTGAGTGTCTAAAAGGTTATGTGCAAGGTCCATACAGTAGGTTGGACAGTACACGACATTAATTTCTTATCACTGAAGTGTAACATTATTAATATGTGCTGAACATGGTGTCTGACAGATAACACTGGCCACAGCTAGACAGCATGAAAGGTCCTTTAGAAAGAAAATGTTTAAAAAATGTCCTTACTAAGCATTAAAGAATACTGAAGTAAAGAGAGTCTGTGCTGTGAGGTTAGTGGGAAAGGGACATTTTGGTGAAAAACAAGACTGGATCTGCTATTTTCCTCATGTTATATGCCTAAACACATATCAGCTGGAAGATTTGCTTAATTTGAATGTTAATATCAATTACCAAAAACTACTTGGATCAAGTAAAATGTTTTTCCTTCTCATAGTTGGTCTTGGATTAACATCCACTGCCTTAGAAATGTCCACCTAAAGTCTTGAAAAGAACAAGTCAGACAACGGATTGAATTCACGTGTTACTTCTCCCCATTGTTTAAAAAGCCCCACTAGACAACAAGTTAAAATAAATAAATAAAGTAATTCAGAAGGGCATTTTAAGAGCTGGACAAGTCATTTGATAGTGTATGCTATAGTTTCTTTCTTTTCTGACCATGCATAAATAATCTTGTGAATTTGCAGCTTAGATAGCCCAAGTTGTCTAACAAAAGTACAGTTACTCATGAATAATTTGGATTTCAACGTGTGTGTGAAGAAAATGGCTCAACACAAGGCTTTTTGTATTAAAGCCATCTGTGACTCACAGTATCATCATGCATGATATGGGGTCATTGTGTGAAAGCAGTAGTGCATGAAAGGCCATGGAAATGGCATATGAAAAGCCACTTCAGGATGCCATGCACAGTTTCTGGGAATGCTAATGATATCGGGTTTGAGGAACAGTGATGTGCTTACAAATCCTACTGGTGTTGGAATCAGCTGTCTTTTCCATACTTAATATAGTTGTACATGAAATTTTGGTGCATTGTAATGACGTTATTAGCACGAGTTCTTTACTTGGGTATGAGAAAGATGTGAGTCATGCAGCTTCTCCAAAAGAGAGCAGAAGAAATGTTGATAGCACACTAATATGCATTCTGTATTCATGATATGTATTCCAGAAAAAATGTTGCTTTGAGGTATGCTAGGATGTCCTTAAGAATTATGTTGAACAGTTTTTTCTTATCTGTGTCTGCCCATCAGTATTTTGTAAACAAATATTGGAGTCCATTAAAATCACATATAGAACTCATTGATTTCAACAGTTCCACATTTTATCCTGTATGTTCTGAAGCATTTTATCCTGTAAGTCTCCCAAAGAAGAGATATAAACACATTTGAAACCTAAAATAGATTTTATGCACAAAATTAATAATTTACATATAAATAAATATTGTCTTCTTCTCCCATAGCCTTTTACCCATGAATTTGAAGAACTTTGCAAGTCTGCATAAATATATTTATGAAAGTTTGACTGCAGATTATATAAAGATTCCTCCATTTTGACACAAATCAAATTAATCCTCTTTGAATCTTCACTGAAATGGTGATGCTAGGCTAAATAAATCTCTTTGAATTCTCATTAACTGTTAGTACAGCTGATTCTTTGACTGGTTCATTAGCATGCTTGGTGGCATATGCTCAAAAAGAAGAAAAAGAAGAAAAAAAGAACTCTACAATTTAATACAAAACAGAACAAAGCTGTAGATTTCGGTCTTTGTCTTGTACACACTGTAAGGTACATGGAGCAATGATCTAACTTAAGCATTGCATGAGGTTCTTCTGAATTGCCATTCAAATTGTTTCCTAATTTTGACAAAGTATAACTTAATTACTCAGCTGCATATAGATTTTCATCTGTCAAACTCAGTTAAAACTATGGAGGAAAAAAGGGGTAATTTATCCGTAGTATAATATTAACAAATAGATACCAGTAGCTAAGTTTGCTTCTTTGCAATAAAAGAACATACTTCAGCTTTAATGATTCTTAGAAACAAAAGGAAAAGTCATGCGTTTATCCCATGAACATCTCAGTGAGATAATTTTACATTCAACTTTCAAGAATGGGAAATTCTCATCCAATTGCCTGTCAGTCACACAGATATGCTCAAATTGTCTACTAAAGAAAATACATAATGTGGATAAAACACTACTATATTTAATAATCAATTATCCTCTGAGCAGCTATATAACTTAGATGAATTGTAACTGTATTTAGCAGAACTCAGAAGAAAGAAATGCACAAGACCAAGAGGAATATGGAACAATCAGCAGCCATTTTCCACGTTACATGTCAACAACAGTAAAACTGCACAAAGATTTCTGCATTCCATTTCCATGATCTAATATTGCTCCACAGAATGAGTTCAGTTCCTTGGCTTGTGGCAAAGGTGGGTGGAATTTCCAAGAGGTCTCCATTTACATAAACACCCTGCACAGCCAGACTGAGCATCTGTGATTGAATGTGATGGGATGCACCACACACACCAAGCACAGCCACGGGCATCAAACTGCCTGAGTAGTCTTTTAGGAGAACAGAATCATTAATAAGTTTCACTTTAAGCATAATGCCTGCTATCATGTTTCTTGAATTTCATGAGCTAATCTAAGTTGCTTCTTCTTATTATACAACTGTACTTCAATACAATCCTGAAGACTGCTTCAGGATGTTTCTTACAGCTTCCCAGTATTTATGAATTGTCACAGAAAACCATTCCAAAGGCACATCTAGATGTAGAGAAGACCTAGGATTTATCAGCTCGTCCCAACTCAAAGAGAGGAAAACTACTCATTGTAGGGATATCTTCACTGTAAAAGTGAAAACCTAAAATCCACACGGCAAATAACCTTGTGTTGTTATCCCTATTAATAGCATCTTGGAAAACAGCTACAGCTTTATGTTATTTTCCTTTTGGGATAATCAGAAAACTCCTTCTCCTCTCAGTTCCCAGAGTGATGCCCAGAGTGATTGCTGGCAGAGATGGAGTTCAGTTCCCTTTCCTTCTGGGTACCCAGAAGGCTCCCTCTGTCCATTCATATCAGTGCTCATACTTCAAATACTTCTCATACAAGCTACTGTCCTAGCTGAGATGAAAAGCCCAGGATAATGGGATAAAAGCTTTATTTCACGGATTTTTCCAACCTAAGCACATTCTGAAAGTTATGCATTAAGGAGTTGACTTTCTTTTCCTCTTTCTTTTTTATCCTTACCTCAGGGTAAAGTGAGGAACAGCAGCCACACTGAAGGGAAGTGAGAGCAGTGTACCAAGCTCTGTAGAAACAGAAAGGAAACAGTAGATCATTTCAACAAGAGTAGTATGTCTTGGCGTCATTCCTTGACACCACCCCCGTCATCCCAGCCTCCTCTGCCCCTCCCACACTCATGAATCTAAAAAGCAGATGGAAAATATTCTGCCAGAAGACATTGAAATACAGTGTTAGAAAGTTACTCTCTTAAGGCTGGAGAAAGTGATGGAGAACTCTGGCAGGCAAATTAAATTATTCATAGTCAGTGGCATTTTGGAAGGAGAAGCAGGAAGGGAATAAGAGACTGAAAGTTATAGGGATTGTACGAGAGCCATCTGGGATGTGGGAAAAAGATGTACTTCAGCTTGCTACACTTCAGAGAGAGACCTGTGGGGCTAATATTGAGTTAGGGAGACATTACCAGTCTTCCCAGTTTGTTTCTGGAGCTGAGCATACTCTAATGCTGCCATGACATTAGGGTTATGACACTGCCAAATCTATCTGCCCCAAATTGACTCTACATTCTACTGGCACTGAGCAATGATGCTCAGATACTGAAGTTACTGTAATTTGCTCAGCTACTCTGTCACTTTGTACACATACCAGCCTCATTTGGATTCTAAAGGTGTGACATGGAGAAGAGGTGCTAATCGGTGTCATTCTCAATATTTCAGTGATTAAACTTTTCTTTAAAAAATATTTTTTTTCCAGTTCATGTTTCCTTATGTCTCTAAAACATTACAGGACCTGTTCTCACAAGAACTAAGCTACTCTACATTCAAATTAAAAGGTGCCATTTCTTGATATGTCTCACAAAGAAAACTGTATTGCATATTTTAGAGTAATTACATCTATAAATTCGTCCAGTTCCATCCCCTAACTCCTGCATGGGGATAGAAGGGAGGCATAGATGTGTGAGAGAGAATAGACTTCACAATCAGTGTTTTTATGAACATATTGACATGTCATAGTGATGGGGACAGGGGGTCAACTTGGAAAGGTATTTTTCTGTTCTGTTACTTCTTCTGAATTTGCACATGTGATGTTGCCAGTGCATCTTCCATGAACAGGTCTATCTCACCATGTATGTCTTTGTACCAAAGATAATAGAAACCAGATGAAATTGGCCACTTAAATATATAGATGTGCATAGTACATACATGTACACATACAGACAGATGAGTTTAACCCCAATAACAGTGATCTTACTAACTTTCAGAGTTACATCAAGATAGCCTTGTATTTAGATTTGAATGCATATGCCAAACTCTTCTGAAGTCTTCACAAACACTTTCTCTTCTCTACTCTTTCTCTTCTCCACAATACCGTACAGTCAGCTGTAACGGCTTCTTCACTTATCCAACCCATGGAAATGAAGAAGTTGACATATGTTGCAGAAATATTCCAAGCATTGTAATTTTCCCATCCTCACAGTCTTATATTGCAGTAAACCAGCTTTTTTGCTGGAATTTGCAAATAAAACAGCACCTGCCACAGTAATCTAATGACCTGAAGGAATTGTTACACAATGAAATGTTTCAGTATCTGGTTGCATGTTAGTATAACATTATTTTCAACATTCTGATTATTTAGACCAATGATTTTGGATATAAATCACTTAATAAATTTTGGATACAAATGGAAAAATTATAAAGAAAACAACGATAATCACTATGAAGCACCAGAAAGGAATCAGTAGGGGAAAGGTACATGGTTGTCAGTAAGAATGTTAGACATGTGAGCCCATGTGTAGATAAACACCATGCAGATTGCTTGTTTAAACATTCTTCTTTTTAATTTTTGCCTGAGGGGCACTGAATTTCTCTCAAGACTGATGGCATAACTGTGTTTGCTACTTGAGGTAGTTCTTCCACAGGAAAACCATTCAAATTATCATTCCAAAATGATGTTCCATTAAAACAAATATTGAATAGTATTTTTGTTATGAATTTGCACAAATATTTGCCAAAAGAAGTCTGAGCAGTATGTCTAAAAAAAACCCAAAACCTAGTCATTTCACAAGAATGCAGATCTTTTAAAATATAAATTTCCTTTTGTTAATCCTAAAACAATAGTTTCTTAAGGTGGGAAAAAAAAAAAACAAAACCAAAAAAATATTTAACACTCAAAAATCACAAGTGACCACAAGAATTTCAAGTAAGAATAAGTTTGTGATGTAAACGCAGTTAGAAAGGAATATGCACCTAAGTTTCCCAATTAATTTTTTGGATGAGTACGTGGGGAGTCAAAATTAGCTGTTGCTTAATTTATTACCAAAATATAAACAGACATGTGTGGCATGCAAACACCATTTACAGGTTGAATTAAAGATAATATTGTTTGACTGGCAGAATATATTTATAAACCCTATTAGTTCTTAATCTATGTCCACGTCTAGTGTCCTTAACTGGCAGTCCATGCTCAGGACCTGCAAAGCAGTCTTTATGTCAGGGCACAGCTGCTATTCACCAATACAGAGAACATTGCAGCGCAAATCTTTCAACATGTTAATTTTTTTTTTTTGTCCTCAAAATATAATTTTCAGGTAAATAACAAAAATTGTTTACTATGTTTGCAGTAGCATTATCTTGCATGAGGTAAGCAGAAACTCTGGGTAGGCTGCCTAGCTGAAATTCTATGGAAGTTAAAAACATCACTAAAAAGGGCAAAGCTGGGCTTCTGCTTTCTGCTTGCCAAATTTTCTCCAAGTGGAATAAAAAGACGAAATTCTGCCAATGTGTGATAGGGGGATGGGCCTCTGAGGATGGAACCTGGGAGTTGGTGGTCAAGACAAATCAAGACAAAAAAATCTGGTGAGAGTTTAAGGAAAAAGGTTTCTGGGGAAGAAAAGACAGGATAAGCAGATGGTCCACCTGCTTAGGATGCCTGCAGCAGGTACCTGTGTTAGACGTTGAGAAAGTGTCTCTGTGTATCTCTTCTTATCTCACTCCAAGAGGTCTCATATCCACAAAGCATGGGAACAACCTCAGAGGGCAGAGTGATTTTGTGTCCTACATGCTGCCTAGCCATCAGAGAGGCACTGTGCTGGATTATATTGCCAAGAGAACAACCCTAGAGGTGCCCTAGCAACCTTCATTTCTATGACAGCAGGTTTGCTAGAAGGGCAAGAGAGTGAAAATTTTAGGCTCACCTGGATACCATTGTGCTTTACAGAACTGGAGTGTGGGAGACAAGATTTTCCAAGTCACAATCAGGATGACTGATTCCTCTCTCATCCAAAGGTGCCCTCTGCTGAAAGAGTTGGGAGGAGCAAAAGAGCTGAGACTGCAGCAGGGTCTGATTCTGGTTGCAAAATCATGTTGCTACTGCCTCTTTTGGT